TCTAGTGCTAATGTTTCTTCTAGGATTCTTCTAGTCTTTCTACTGATAAAATGAAGAAAGAAAGAAAAACGTCCAACAAGTATGAAGTGGATTATGGACATGTATTGTCGAAATAATACAGGACTAGATCAAATTGATTTTGAATGTTTTTAATGAAGTCTCTTCTGCTCATCAGTGCTGCATTCATGCGCGCAAAAATTTATTAAACGTAAATTAGGATGATTAAATAGTGCTACATGTTTAAATATATGTTTTCCATTGCAGAGTATAGATCAGATTTTACAACTTGCAATATTATTTTAAATGCACTTTATTTCTGTAAAACAAGAATGCATGATTTTTTATATTTATCTTTCTATTTATTGAAAAATCTAGAAAAAAAATGTTTTTTGTGAAAATAAGAACTAATATTAATTCTAGAGAACAACTATTAAACGTCAACTGACATGTGACAAACAAAAAATAATAATAATAATAAACAGAAATTAAACTAAAATGCATTTTAAATAAATGTAAAATGCACAACAATATAATATAATATAATATAATATAATATAATATAATATAATATAATATAATATAATATAATATAATATAATATAATATAATATAATAATACAATATTGGGACGCGGTGGCATACAGCTTACAGCAAGAAGGTCGCTGGTTCGAGCCTTGCCTGGGTCAGTTGGCATTTCTGTGTGGAGTTTGCATGTTCTCCCTGTGTTTGCGTGGGTTTTCTCTGGGTGCTCCAGTTTCCCCCACAAGTCCAAAGACATGCGGTACAGGTGAATTTGGAAAGCTAAATTATCCATAGTGTACGTAAGTGAATGTTCATGTGTTGGCGGTTCATTCGGCTGTGGCGACCCCAGATTAATAAAGAGACTTAGCCTATAATATAAAATAATATAATATAATATAATATAATATAATATAATATAATATAATATAATATAATATAATATAATATAATATAATATAATATAATATTATATAATATAATATAATAACGGGGTCACATTTTATCATGTTTCTTTTTCTAAACTACTTCATATTCTGTACCGTTCAGGCCAAATACTGCTTTGGGATAAAACTGGCTCTAAGTGCTCATCTAGGATCAGTTTCTGCCTCCCAAATCCATACCTTAACTATAAGTCAAATGGAGAAAAAAAAAGCTTACTCCAAATCAGCATCTGCAAAGAAACATCTCAATATTACAGCTTTTTTTTTTTGTTTGTAAGTTTTTTTAAATGAGTTGCTACAAATTTTAGAACCCTGATGTCAATGTTTAAAACTCTACACACAAAATTCAAATACAACTCAAAAACTTGTATACAAGTAGGGATTTAACAATTCACCTGACTCACAATTCACTACAATTCAAGCTACTAACATCACAATTCACAATTTAGTAACAATTATTTAATAAAATTGAGTCAAATTTAAGGTGAAGAGCCTTTTTTTTCAAATGCTGCTCTCTTTTTTTTACAAAATAAAATAGTCTCTGCAATAACAAAATTGGAATTTTAAAACAAAATCCAAATAAAAAGTGAATAATACAAACTAAATAAGACTCTTTAACATAAACAAACTAACACTTTGACTGTGCAGCTACTTTACAAAACCAAAATGGACAATAGAAGATAAAGAAATCTCTGTAATACAAAAAAAAACGGCTGCCCTACCTATAGCTTGTCGCTCATGCGCAGGTAAAGCAAGTTTGCCTGTAAACACAGTGCCCCCTCAGTTCAAAACATGTATCGCGATTCATTCAACATTTGTACCGGTATGAATTGTCACATATTTGAATTGACAAGTGTTCCAAAATTTGTGGCAAAACAATAGTAAAAAAAACTGTAAACAATCCAAAGTCACACTTTATTTTGATGGTCCATTTGTTAAATTTAAGTTACATTGCATCTACATGCCAACCAATTGTCATTAGATTATAATTAGACTGTTAGGTTCAGGTTATGGTTAGTGCAAGTTGACATGTACTTGTGAAGTTTCTTATAGTCAGTTAAATGTCTGATGAAGGAGCATTATCAGCAAATATTAAGCAGACAGTCTACTAATACTCAAATAGACCATCAAAATAAAGTTTTACTTAATCCAATGTAAAATCCACAAATAAAAAATCTAATATTATTAACATACAGTACTCAACTAACTCGATTCATCTTGAGGAAACAATGATTGAAGAAAATCAATGTTTAGCTATGCCAACAGAGCAAAAAATTAATATTCAGGTTGTCGTTTCAGCAGAAGTTGACAGAGGAGAAAAAAAAAACATTCCTCACGTCTTATTTCTTTCATTAGGACTCACACATAAATGTCAACACAGATAACGTCCTATTCCTGCAAGCTGGCTGACATTAAATGACACCCCTGCACTGGCTTTTATATTGCTTTCTTTGCAAAGTGATTTTTTTTCTTTTGCAGGCAGAATCTTTTCCTTTTCTTGCCCGACTCGTATACAGCTATGGTTTCCATTCTAAGCGATGAATTAAAATGCAGCGAGTGTCCTGAAAGTCTGCGAGTGGAGGAAGACATGAATGAGTAGTAAACGTGAGGGATTTACTCTCAGCTGTGCTCAGACTGCTTGACATTATTTGATGTCAGATCCAAAACCCCTTCCAAAATAAAAAAATACTGCCCTAGATTCAGTTTCTTTAACGAAAAAGTGACACGTTTCAAAATATCTAATTCAACGAAAATGATGAAGACTCACGTTCGGAGCAGCTGATGAATCAGAAATGAGGCATTAATATAAAAACTGTATATTAAACCAAAATTATTCACACTTCTTTTTATTTGCATGCTAAAATTAGGTCATCTCTCGCAAGATACGAGCGATAATTCAGTACTATCAATTCAGCGCATGGCCATGAGTGATCTTTAATATAAAGAATAGCTCGCTCAAATTGATTAAATCAGTAAATAAAAAAAAAACGACTCGTGTGAAATTCTTTCTTTCTTATACAGACTAATGCACTTTTGAATTTGAATAGCACTTTGTATAATGATTTGAGTTTTCAAGCAGTAAAAGGAACTTAATATACCATTATAAAAGTGGCTCAAATGACTCCTGCAAGGTAATTTCTGGCATAGATTGAAATCAACGTATTTGTTCAGATGAAAAACGTATTCATTCAGTCATTATGCACTCTTCTTGGAGTTTTTTAGTGCCTTTCTTTCCTTTTTGCTTTTTATTAATCAGTGAAGGTGAAATGCACTGTATTCCTGATGTCCTGGTGGTAAACAATAGAAGCAAGCAAAAATGTTATATATTATTTAATGACAATCCTGTCTATGGCAATTTGTCTGCATTTTCAATGGCTACACAGAAATAACGCCACAGAAAATCAGTGACAGGAACAAAAAGCGCAACATTTTGTTCAATTCTATTAAAAAAAAAAAAAACTAATAAACTAATTGTTGTTTACTGTGTGTAACTAACAACTTATAACTTATATTGTTTTTTTTAAATATATATTTTAATAAATAATTATTATTTCGGTCACACTTAAAAATAAGGTTCCATTTGTTAAGGTATTTACTAACATGAACTAATTATGAACAATAATTGTAGAGCATTTATTTGTCATAGTTCAACCTGTACTAATGTATTATTAGTTATGAACACACGTCCTATTCTTATGCTCCATATGGTGGTGCATATGTCTCCTAAACCTGACAGGTGGAAAAAATCTTTCAATTTCAAAATCAACAAATATCAATATGCATATAATAAATAATAACACTAATAATATAAACATTACAATAAAAATGCAAACTGTCACAAATAAACTGAAAAAAAAAGCCCCCTGGACATGAAGAAGGCAAGGAGGCAGTGTTTTTTTTTTTTTTTTTTTTTTTTTTTTATTTATTGTATTTTTTAAATGTATTTATTTATTTATTTATTTATTTATTTATTTATTTATTTATTTATTTATTTATTTATTTATTTATTTATTTTTATCTATGTAGTAAATAATAATTTTTGTAACATTTGAAATCTTTTTTTTTTTTTTCTTCATATGTAAAGATATTTGTGTATTGCTGTACATCCTGTGTGTATTAAGAAATGTGTAAGCATTTGGACCCGCATACCTAGCGAGCTCTGACTTTAGGCCAGCTTTTACTTGATCAATGGTTGGTCCATTCAGTTCCTTAAAATAGCAACGTGCCAACAATGCTCCTTAACACACTTCCTTTTTAGACCAGAACACCCATGAGTCCACAAAGTGGCGCAAATGGATTTGCTATTTAAACATAAAAATAAGGGGGCTCTGGTCTGAAAATAGCAACAAATCGCACCAAACACATCTTGTGCCTTATTGCACTGGGTGTATGGTAGGGCCCGTGTGTTGTTCCTTTTAAAAAGCCTCTAGTGTGAAGATAAGTGAAGTAATTAGTGAACATTGCTTAAACTCGCACATATCATTATTTGCCTCACTTAAGAGTTACGTTTCATCAATCCAAACTTGTAACAATGACATAGTTTGAGACGAGATATTTTTTAAGAACTAAGTTTGTAATATAATAGAAAATGTACTGGCAGCTTATTAGCAGGTTTTTAATAATACCATGTAATTTACAATAGATCACTTTAAACTATTAAAAATGTCAATAAAAGTCATTTTTTTCAAACATTTCAACATCAAAAACCTTTTTTTAACCTTAACGCTGATCAATATTTGCTGATTCGTATCCCCCAATATATAAGAGTGCAATCAGGACATGTACTCAAGAATTCTCCTTTTCAATAAGAAATAAGAGTATGAAGACAGAACAACTGCAGGGCGATGATTAAATCCCATAACAGTGGGTTCATTTTAGATGATCTATCACTTTAAGAAACAAAACTAGTAACACTGCCAACAAGAGTAACAATGCATGAGTAACAATTTCCAGTAAACCCCACTGACACATAAGAGGAAAACTTCAATACAGGAAAAAAAAAAGCAGGATTGGAGATTATATAAAGGTAAACATTAC